ACCACAGAGGAAGAACCCTTTGAGGAGACATTGATGAACACCAAGGGATGCAAATCCAGAGGTATCACATTTTTAAGGCAAAATGTTGAGCAGTTTAGGAAAGAGTTTGTTCTTTTTGCAAGTTCCTAGCAGAAATCCAACTGAACAGCCCCAAATGGTGCTTATCCAAACAGTTTCATAGGGCAAAAAAATGCAGTTGGTGATGTTTCCACCCAAAATCCTGACTTCTCCACATCCTGAGGTTTGTCTTTGTGTTGATAGTCATGAGCCCATGTGGTGTATCATGTTTGCAGGCAAATGGTGTAGATCAGGAGGAACATGGTTCTCATCTTGATGTGCCTCCACCTTTGGAAGCTCTTGGTGGTGAAACACAAAGTCTTCCTTGGATTATTTGGAGCCAAAAGTGTTGACCATGTCCTTTTTTACTGGCTTTTTCAGAAATCTTCTCCTGAGCCCCAGCAAACAGTGCTCAGGGGCCTCTTGAAAAACTTCTGGGTGGGGCAGTTTGTCTTCTCCTGGGCTCCAGGAACCTCTTCTAGTTCAGGTTTGAGCTCTGTCACGTTCTTTTCACCAAAGCCGAACCCATCACACCAGCCTCTGGTCCTGCAAGAGACCTTAACATGTCCCATTTAATTAAACAGATCCCAGAAGGCCCAGATTTAGAAAATTAACTTATTTTCAGCTCCCTTTTTTTTTTTGCCATGGGAGGGTGGCCACAAAAGGATGTTGCTGTGGGGTCCTGACTCACTCAGGTTAATATGACTCGTCAAATGACCAAATTGCTCATAAATATAATAGATCCACAACTAAGTGTCAATTAAGAATAATAATCCAGCCCTCTGATGTTCCCACCCATTACAGATGCAGATTAATTTCTATCTCTTAAAATGTCTGTTTCTCTTCAGAGTCGTTGCAATTTCTTGCTAATCAAATATAACAATAGGGTGTGAAATGACCCACTATAGAAAGGGAGATTTAGGACTGGTTTTCAGCACTGGTTTTAGAGGTGAGCCTGGAGCCCCAGGGGAGTGTGAAGAACTCTACAAACCAGACTAGACTTCTTAAACTAGACATAAGGAAGACAATTTTTTTACAATGAGGGTGGTTAAACGCTGGCCCAGGTTGCCCCAAGAGTTGGTAGAGGCTCCATCCCTGGAAACATTCAAGATCAGGTTGGATGAGGCTCTGAGAAACCTGATCTAGTGGAAGATGTCCCTGCTTATGGCAAGGGGGTTGGACTGGGTGACCTTTAAAGGATCCTTCCAACCCAAACTGTTCTATGGTTCTTTGTCTATGAGAAACTCCTCAACAAGAGAAGTGTTGGAGGGCCCTGCTGTGAGGGAACCTGCAAGTACTGGAGGACAAATCTAGGAGGAGAAGATGGGGAGAGATGAATCTGTTAAAATATGAGCTAGTTCCTCTCTGTTCATTTTCCAACCTGCAGGGTGTATGTGATGCAGTTGTGGGTGTTTCTCTTCATCCTGAAGCAGATGTCTAAGACAAGCAAACCACCCTGTCCTATTTCTCCCTGTACAAACCTGTACAAGCCACCATGGAGGAGAAACTTCACATGATGCCTGAGTCAAAGGAAAAGAGGTGGGAAGCCTCAGGGAGCCACGCTGGGAGGATGGGAAGAGCAGTGCAAGGACCTCATCTACCACGGGTTTGGGGCAGGAATTCCAGATTCCCCATGTAAGCCCTGGAAAAGAACCCGTGATGATTCCTGGAGTTCTCCAGTAGGACTCCTGGTTTCCAGTGTAAACAGGATGCACTGCTCTTGCCAAACGGGTTGTGTGTTGGTTTGGTTGGGGTTTTTTTTGCCCGTTTAGCATTTCTGCAGGTGATCTCATTGGGGAATTTGGTCACGTAAACCCAGTCTGATGATCACATTCCACCTCCATGATTGGAATATCTTGGAGAAAGAAAGATTTTTCTCTGATGAGGGGCTGAGTGAGATAGCATGATCACCAAAGACATCATCATGCTCATTTGGAGTCCTGGGCCTTAATCACACGTGAACTGAAGTCCCTATGATGCTCTGGAAGGAAAAAATGCCTTGAGAATTCTTGTCCTTCAGCTTTGCCTTCAAACCTCTTGGTTTTGGTCTTGTCAGGACCAAAGAGATCCTGAAAGTAACTGGAGTTGTGCCCCTTTGGTGTTGCAAAGCATGAACGTTGTTAGCAGAGGGTGGAAAGGACTGGGTTGACTTTATTTAATGGTTTAAAATGTATTAGAGAAGCAGGTACCTCCAAAGTTCATGGAAGCTCTGAGGTCCCACTGCAGGATTAGCTGGATTTTTACCACACTAGTTCTCAGATCAGATCAATTGTCCTAATAACAGCTGTTCATTGGGAAAAACCCAGGGGATCATCCAGACATTTATGGAAATAAGGAGATGAAACTATCCAAGCTTATTAAATCTTTTCTGGAAAACAATTAATCTTGCACTTGAGTTGGTTGGTTTTTTAATTACTGTGGCACTCCTGTTGGGAACCTCATGACTGGGGGTGGAAGCAGAATTTGCTCAGGATCACATGTTTTTCCTGGAAGAGGGTTTCCATCCAAAAATTAGGATGTAAACAAATATGTAAAGCATGTGTAGGTGGAGTTTGTGGAGGTAGTTAGTGGTCAGGTGTCCATACCCCTGGGCTCCCTTGTTTCCGGAGGTGACGCCACACAAGCCATATAAAAGCTTTGCATTTTGATGCTCACACCAGTTCATTTGACTTCTCCTTCACTCACCTGCACTGGTGAACTGGTAAGTCTTTCTTGGATTTATCAGGGAATAATGCAATGGTTGTGTTGCTTGGTTGGTCTGGTCAAGATAAGATGTTACTGATTACAGGAGAGCTTTGCTTCTGGTCTTTCCAGGAGTCACCTGGAATGAGGGGAGAGGGTGTTTGTAGCTTGCAAATGTTCTGCCACCTCTTCAGAAGCTGTGGTTGTCTCTCAGCCTTCTTTGTATTCTATCTTCATTCATTTTTTTTTTTTTGGTACCTCATTAAGTCTGGAAATTAAATAAATTAGTGGATGCTACAGAGTTAGTCTTAGGCCTTCAAAGAGATGAGTGGGAAGGAGCATCATCTGGGAGAAGGAAGCTGCAGAGCAGCTTAGGGCAAAGCTGCAGGAGACATCTGGGACAAGTCAAGATGAGGAAATGAATTGGAAATAGGAGCTGCAACCTCTGGGCCAAGCCCTCTTTTATGAGGGATGAGCCCATTCATTTTGATGCAATTCCAAAGTTCTACCATGATCTTCAGCTGGAGGATTTGGGATAGTGTCTGAACTTGTGGTCTTTGGGCTTCATCCTTGGGTATCAGCAGCTCAATGTCTCCACAAAGGGAGATGTTCTCTGTGGTGTGTGTGAGGAACTGAAGAAGTGAGAAGGAAAAGATAGGCCTTGGGACCTCTGCTGATTTAAGACAATGAGAGATCATAGAATGATGGAATGGTTGAGTTGGGAAGGTCCTTAAAGATCATCTAGATCCAACCCCCCTGCATGGGCAGGGAAATGAACTCTTCTCATGTTATGGCTTCTACAATATCTAACTGTGCAACTCTCTAAAATTCATGGTTTGTGGCTCTAGTGATGTTTGCAGCTTCCCAAAGAAGGAAGGAAGGAATAACCTGGCACTGTTGGTTGTGGGGCTGCATCCACAGACCATTCCCAGGTGCCGTTTTTACCAACGGTCCTTTCCTCTGTCCTTCCACCAACTGCAACAGAAGTTCCAGGAGCTCAGGTTGGGAATGGTGGCTCAAGAAGAAATTGCCCCATCCCTGGCAGTGTCCAAGGGCAGGTTGGATGGGGTTTGGAGCAACCTGGGCTGGCAGGAGGTGTCCCTGCCCATCCAGATGGGGTTGCAATTCGATGGTCTTTAAGGTCCCTTCCAACTCAAACCATTTCATGATTCTCTGACTCTATGGTATGACGAGCATGTTCATTTGGTATCTCTCTTATCTTTCCCTCCAGCTCTACCAACCCCCCAGCACCATGTCTTACTTACAGCAGTGCAAGCAGCCCTGCCTGCCCCCCCAGGTCTGTGTGCAGAAGTGCTCCAAGTGTGTGGAGCCCTGCAAGACGGTCTGCGTGGAGCCCTGTGGGGAGGTCTGTGTGAAGCCCTGCCCTGTACCCTGTGTGGAGGTCTGCCCAGCACCCTGTGCCACCCAGTGCACCCAGTCCTGCAGCACCCAGTGCGTGGAGTCCTGTGCCCCCCGGTGCATTGATGTCTGTGTCAAGCCTTGTCCCACCCAGTGCCCCCAGTCCTGCAGCACCCAGTGCGTGGAGCCCTGTGCCCCCCGCTGCATTGATGTCTGTGTCCAGCCCTGTCCCACCCAGTGCCCAACCAAGTGTGTGGAGCCTTGCCCAGCCCCCTGTGTGGAGGTGTGTGCCACCAAGAGTGTTGAAACTTGCGAGACCGTGTGCCTGGAGCCCTGCACCACCTGCTGCTCCCGTCCCTGCTGAGCTGCTCGACACCACAGCCTCCCATGCAGCCCTAGAGCTCCATTGCAACAGGCTCCTGGGCACCCACGGACTGAAAACCAGGTTACAGACCCTCCTGCCATGTACCCAGCCCTATCCTGAGCTGGTCGCTCTACACTCACTTTGTCTTGGACAATATTCCTCTGACTATTTCCAGCCTGTGTCTTTGGTTCTGATGATACTTCTGCTACTGTTATCTCAGCACCTTTTTCTTGGTAACTGCAGTTGGCCAATATTACCCTGCTGGGCATCTTGGGAAGTTATTTAGCAATGGTTGTTCTGGAAGCAGCTGAGGTTGGAAGATGTCTCCCTTTCTGTTCTTTCATTCTTGTCTTTAATATATGTCCTCTTGTCTTTTAATGTCTATGTGCAGCAATAAAAATTGACCATCGATGGCATCACGTGCCTTTTGTCTTTATTTCATCCCCTCCTTTCCATGGCTTTGGACCCAAGGACATTTTCCTTTAGTTTTCCTTCCAGAAGTTGTTCTGGTTGTGGGGGATTTGTGCCTGAAAAGCAGGGCTGCAAAGACCTGCATTGGAGCCTGGAGTGATGTCTTCTGACACCCTAAACAAAATGCTTGAGTGAAGCAACTGAGAATTAGGCTCTTTGATGTGATGTCTGGCTGGAAAGTGCTCCTGTGGTGCCCAATGGGTTTGCAATGAGACAACCTGTGCTGCTCAAGAAGCACAGTCATTCTGCAGGTGCAGTTAGGAATGAATTTAGGCAGGAGAATAGATTTGCCAAAAAGCAGAGCAGGGAGACTCTGGAATATGGCAAGTCAGAAAATAGGAATCATGGAGTCATGGATTGGTTTGAGTTGAAGGGACCTTCAAGATCATCTGGATCCAACCCCTGCATGGGCAGGGACACCTCCCACCAGCCCAGGCTGCTCCAAGCCCCATCCAACCTGCCCTTCAACACCCCCAGGGATGGGGCAGCCACAGCTTCCCTGGGCAACTTGTTAAAGAAAAGAAAACCCAAAAATCTAAGCAGGAAGGAATTGAAATGTTCTTGATGAGCTTTTAATTATTTCTTCAACACCTTTTGATGGAGATGAAAATGGTAATTTTGAGGAATTCTTCCTGTGATCTTCACTGACTAAATACAGACAGTGGGGGATTTGGATTAGAGATTAATCCTCTTGTGGTTCAGGAACAGGTCTGAGCCCTGCAAGGCTGCAGTTTTGTCCCCAGCTTTGCTGCAGATACTTTGTGTGGCTTTGGGCAGGACTTATTATCTCTCACTTCCCCATCTCCAACAAGGAGCCACTCTGTGAGAGAGCAGTTGGTGTTTCAGGTTCATGAACACCTGGCAGGCTCAAGCACATTTGAATTCACTTCTAAATGAATCTTCTGTGTTTGGAATAATCATTTGGGGACTGCAGGAGGCCCATTGTCTGTTAGAACCATTTAAATGTTGAGTTTCAGAGATAATGTCCCCTTTGTCTTCCGTGTGCGTGCGACTTGCTCACCTCTGTCTCTGTGATGGCCACACCATTTCCCTGCCTGGGCTGTAAAGAATTGCTATCCACCTACCATATCATTATGGGAAGGGTGGAGGACATCTAATCTAGAAATGAAAAGAGTTATATTTAGGTGTGAGCAAACACTGTTACCAAATCAGCTTTTAATGAACCCCTGGGTGCAGGTGCAGTTTGGGCACCAGATTCCTTTTTGGGTTCATTCTGTCGACACCAAAAGGTGACACCATCAAACAGGAATAATGATAAACAAAACTTGTCTCAGGGAGGGAAACAAACCCGACACCTGAACACGCCTTTGGGGGCAGGTAGACAGAGCAGGGGTTGGGGGACCAGACATTCAACAGGACAAAAATGGAGGGACAGATGAGGAACGTGCACTTCTAGTTCCTGCAGTTGGACACAAACCTCTGGGGACTCAGCAATGAGCTCTGCCTGGCCAAGAACTGCTTGTTGCTGCCACGTTTGTCACTGCCCACTTCCAGGCATGGAAAAAGTCCTCTGATACAATTGCAGAATCATGGAATGGTTTGGGTTGGAAGGCACATTATAGATCATCTAGATCCAACCCCCCTGCATGGGCAGGGACACCTCCCACCAGCCCAGGCTGCTCCAAGCCCCATCCAACCTGCCCTTCAACACCCCCAGGGATGGGGCAGCCACAGCTTCCCTGGCCAACCTGGGCCAGGGTCTCATGACCCTCACAGAGAAGAATTTTCCTTTCAAGTCCAACCTAAATCTCCCTCCTCCAGTTTTAATCCTCTCCCCCTTGTCCTCTCACTACATGCCCTAGTAAAAAGTTCCTCTCCCAGCCTGTCTCCAGAGCAGAGCTGCTCCAGCCCTTGGATCATCTCCATGGCCTCCTCTGGACTCCCTCCAACAGCTCCTTGTCCTTCTTGTGTTGGGAGCTCCAGAACTGGACAGAGTTGTCCAGGTGGGGTCGCATGAGAGCAGAGCAGAGAGGGACAATCCCGTCCCTGGACCTGCTGGCCACACTGGTTTGGTGCAGCCCAGGACAGGGCTGGTTTCTGGGCTCCAGTGCCCATGGCTGGCCCAGCCTTAAGCTGGAGGTCACATGCAGCTATTAATGGGATCCATCCCGTAGGTGAGTCACCTATGACTGATTCCCAAGCATCTCCATCCAGCTCTATCAGCCCTGTTAGTCACTCACCATTTTCTCTTCTCCCCTCTCTGCTGCCAGCATTGCAGTCATCACAGATGGCAGCACCCAGCCCTTAAAACCCCAGAGGAAGTGGCACAAGAAACCTGCTGCTTTGTGCTCCTCATGCTTCCCGTGCCTGTAGGAAAACGTGTTGCAAAAGCCCTGACACTGCTCTCCTACATGCCTGTGGTTACCTCTGGGCATTGCTGAGATGTTCCCAACAACTTAGTGACATTTGATCCAGGTGAAGCTCAGGTTCATTAAGACCCTTGGCAAACGAGGCATGAATGAGGGATGTTAGGGCATGGGATGATGGATTTTTTTTCCATTTGCACCTTCTACACCCAGTGGAAACCTTGTCCACCACCTTGCCATGTGTCACCCATCCAGAGTGGAGACTGAGCTGTAATTCATAGGGTTAAATATGATCCCACAGGGCACAGCATTGAGGAAGACTCAAGGGAGACTTGAATTCCCTTTTCCATCAGATCTAAAGAATCATTTCAAGGGGAACAACGTTTTTCTGCAACATGAATCCAACCCCAGGAAGAAGAATTTCAGCCAGCCCAGACCCAGGGTTTGTAAGGAGATGGTTTAGGTGCTTCACTGAAAAAAACTACATG